ATTCTTCTTTACACATTCAATAAACTTTCCGAATAATATTATTGAACATCGATTGACCTTTATTCAGTAATACAAACTGGTTAATTTGACAGAAAATAGATTTTATTTCTGATCTGAAAATGATGCGAATATTGAATTGTGAAATACTGAATTTTGCTCAATTAAACATAAATGTATAATCACTATTCATAATATTTTTGGCTGATTTATTCTATTTATATATAGAACCTCAAATCAACAAGACTCTCACAAATATTTAACTGTAATTCCTTTAAATCGTAAATATAATATATAATTAAAATTCAGCAAATGTGTGAATTTTGGCAAATGTCTAATGATTTTTTAAGAAAAATTTTAATAAAATATATAGTAAAAATGATGTAATATGACAGATAATGCTAAATTACATAGTAAAAATTGATTAATGATTTATTATATAATAGAAATTGATTGATAATTTATTTATGCCAAATTATATGACAAATTATATGATAAAATTGATTGATAATTTATTTAATTATTAATATGTCAAATTATTTATTTTTTTGATGAATATTACATAAATGATATTATACTGAATAAATATTTTTTGATTAGTATAAATAAGAAAAAGTAGAAATAAAATATGTATTAATATAATTCAATATATGTATCAATTGATTTTATAAAAAGTTTTATTTTTATTTTTATTTTTTTAAAATCTTTTGTTAGGCTATATATACTGTATATGTTTTATTAAATATATGTATACTTTATATTGAAAAATATATTACTAAAACCAAATTTTTATCTAACTTACTTATTTCTATTTTAAAGATTATTAAAACTTTAAGTACAATTTTGGAAGTGATTTATTATTTCATTAGCAGTTCAAGTAAAAACCTTTTCAATTGTTAACTTTATTGTTTACAAGTCATTACTGCAGATTTTATAAAAAGTTTTATTAATTTTTGCAAAAAAAAAAAAAATAATAAATATAACTTTTATAAATATTTAATGAACTTAATTAAAAAATATTTTTATAATTCTTATATTATATTGAACTTGGAGCCTTATAATTGATGACCTGAGAACATTATAGATTTATAGGTCATAATTGGTTTGAACTATCCATGACGGCATAATTGCGGGTTAAATAAATGTGGTCAAAACCTGTATTTATTGTTACTCAAAAAAGGTGATTATCAAAACAACAGGATTTGCGTCTTGTTTCTATTGAGCAGCCATTAATAAAAATAGCTATGATTTTCAAAAACCGGATACATTAAAAATAGATTTCGTTTTTTTTTAGCCATACCCTTTTTGAATATTCATCACCAAAAGTCAATACTCGCATTTTCACTTGTCACTGGAATTGTATAAATATGGTTCACGAGGACATTGATTGAACCGAGGCATCTTTATTAGCAAAGGTAGAATTCCTTTTGTCCAATCATTTCTAAGAGGAACTCGTACCCACAGGTATACCATATAATATACAATACACGATTTCCTTTTTGTCGAAATGAAAAATTTCAACTCATGGAAACAAACCTTCCACGGGTAATCTTGATCCGGGACTTTAATGATCCCGCACCCGAGGATGGCAGAGAATTTATTCCGCAAATGCTTACTCAGTAAATTTCTCGCCAATGCGGCACAAAATATCCTATTATGTTCAACAAGTCACTCAGAATGTGAAGTTTCATGCTGGGCACTGGAACTGTATTTTCAGCTTCATTTGGTCTCGTTATGGCATTTTTCCAAATAATTTGTTGGATCAAGAGTTCCACACACGTCCACTTCTTCGTATTAGGGATCAAAATGGTAACGATTCTGGTTGGAGAAATCTTCCTTGCCGAACCCAAAACAATAATGAAGCAAGAAATTTAATTTTCTTCCCGAGTCATCGCAAGCAGATACAAACAGTTGACATTAGAAAATCAAATGCCCACCGTCATGTACTGCAGATGCGATCTTGTTGGTTTAAGAGACTTGATGAACTTGATGCGCGATTAACTCGAATTTTCCCATCGCGGATCTAGAGATGGCCGGACCTTCGTCTCGCCCATTAGTACCTTTTTTGCCCACGAGCATAAAGTGTTCAGGAATGGGATTGTGGTGATGATCACTATTTTGTATTTCACTAGTTCACAAAAATGTCGAATATTTTACTTTATTTTTAAGATACGGTCTTAGTTATATTGCAAATAAGGTTGATTTTTTTAACTCATTCGTATGGCGAAGTAATTCAATCAAAAATGGTAAAGAAATTTGCATGTGCATTTGACATAATATTACGTACTGCATATTTTAGTTACATTATGTAAATTTTAAACGCGCTTAATTGTGTTACAACAATAGCTAATAAAAAATTTTAACAATCCCTGATTTAAATCTCGTTTGCATTTTGAAACAATCCGAAATTGGTGTAAAGAGACAACCAATACGTAGATTTGGTGTAACGTATAGCTTCAAGTTAAAAAGTTCTCTTTTCGCCTGACACCTGCGGTTAAAAAAATATTATTATCACGCAGAAAAAACTTGAATAACGAGCAAAGGAGTTGAAGAGAGATGAATCAAGAGAACTCACCTTTGCTAACAGCTTCTCGCGCCCCTAATGACTTTGATGAAGAGAGCCTTCTTGGTAACGGAAGTAGAAGTAGTGTTCACGATTCCGGCGTTCTGGAACGTACCCCTCGTACACGTGAAGCGCCCCGCGATCATGCCAATTTCTTTCCTTTACGCCATGGAAAATTTTCAAAACTAGAGACCTTGCTGGCTTTTACGAGTATCATATTATTAATACTTATGAGCATCTTTGCTGGCCTGTATGCAAAGGGAAGGGCCAATAAACATCACGAAGTCATAGTTCCGGTTCCTGAGCCACCATCGAATAATGATACCACGGAGGTATTATGACTTTAATAGATGTCGCTGATTTTACGACTCTCACGAATCTTTGGAATATGCGCATTGTTTCAAAAATTTTACTAACGACGAAAAATTTTTTTACCAGGGACCTTGTTTAACGACCAATTGTATTTTAACAGCAGCTCAGATAATATCTGATATAGATTCAAGTGTCGATCCTTGTGATGACTTCTATCAATACAGTTGTAAGTAGATCTCCGAACATAGCTTTATCCGTATGCATCACAATAATGATGTTGATCAATTATTAATACCATTGATAGGTGGTGGGTGGATAAAGAGTCATATCATTCCCGACGAAAAAGGACGGTATGGTTATTTTGACAGTCTGTATGAAGACAATCAGGTAAATTTCGTTTTATTTTGATGTCGACGTTTCCGAAGATATGGTTTTTAATGATTCTTGTTCTTTATTAAGAAATTACTAAAAAGAATTTTAGAGAATGAATTCGGGTCTCCTAATGAACCAGACCTACCACCACCATCAGAGACCCAAGATAAACTAAACCTTTACAAGCTTCAAGACTTTTATCAATCGTGCATGAATGAGACACAGATCAACATTCTCGGTAGTTCTCCCTTGCGCCCGATATTGGATAAAATTAATGAGAATTTTGATGAAAGTTCGTTGATTTACAATAGTTCAGAGGCATCGGATAAAAGAAGGCAAACATCTCTCCCACTTGATACACAAAATTTAACAAGCATCTTGGCGTATCTGTCAACTCTCGGTGTGAGGCCGCTGTTTGCGTTCTATACTGATGCCGACGCAAAAGATCCCGAGAACAACGCCATATACTTGACGCAGTCTGGTCTTGGTCTACCTTCCAAGGAGTATTATGGTGAAGAGAATATTCTTGAAGTTTACAAGGATGTTATCGCTGAATTATTGGGAAGGGCACTGGTCGTTGACTTTTCGGAAAATGGTACAAAGACTGACATAATTGGAGAATTGATTGAATATGAAGTGACCGACTTATTTGAATCGATTGCACTTGATGTCGTAAATTTTGAGAGTTCCTTGGCTAAAATTTCTCTATCAGCGTAAGCACTAATTTTATGTCTCCACGCTTCAACACTAATCGAACATTATTAATCGGATGTTATACACCTTTGGATGAACAACATTTAGCGAAGAATTGTCCGATCCCGAGTCGACATACAACAACCACACCTTGTTATCTCTCACTAGACTCAGTCCCATCTTCATGTGGTTAAACTATTTAGATAAGCTTTTGCCACCATCACATAACACAGATCTTACAAAAGTAATTGTACATTCGGACAAGTACTTTAGAGAACTTTCGGATCTTGTCGAAAGAACACCGGTCCGTACTCTGCACGCTTATCTCGTTTGGCAGGTTATCTCCGGATATGCAGATTTCCTGGATGAAAATTTCAGAGCTCCCATTAGAAGACTGATGGCTAAACTTAGTGGTATAGATGAATCGGTGAAACCGAAAAGATGGGAGGTTTGCCTTCGTGCTGTAGATTCCACCATGGGACTTATGGCCGGTAGATTCTTTGTTCTGAAAGCTTTCGGCGGTAGGTTTCTGCTAAGAGTGGGGTTTGTCATGTTCCTTTCATTCATTGTGTGGTCGTTTTCACGCGTGTTGATTTGTGGTTTCTAGGTCAAAGTAAAGAAATTGCCGACCAAATGATTGGTTCCATAAAAGATGAATTCATTAATCGCATGCCGCAGATTGAATGGCTCGATGATGTGACTCGTAATAAGGCCATCGACAAGGTACCAAAACTCGTTGGACGACTGTTAAACCAACATTCAATTCCACTTACAATCTTTGTTGATTTTTACTGCAGGTTAAAAAAATTATTCAAAAAGTCGGATATCCCACCGAATCTCCAGACACCATGTCACCAGGTTCACTGGCCGAGTATTACGATAAGATAAAAGTCAGGAATGACACATTTTTCGAAAATGTGATGAGCACTGAGAAGTGGTGGTCTGAAAAGACATGGCAGAAGGTTGGGAAACCGGTGGATCGTGGACACTGGTACATGACGCCTCAAACAGTCAACGCCTATTATGTAAGTATTGTTCGTCTATCGCATTTATAATATTCGGAATTTAATGACGACGAAAAAAATTTTTTTTACAGAATCCCACAGCAAATGAAATCGTATTCCCAGCTGGTATCTATCAAATGTGTATATTGCGACCCCTAGTAAAACAATTATTCACTTTTATTAAATTTATTTTCGCTTTAAGGAATTCTTCAGTCTCCATTCTTCAATGCAGATGCGCCTGAATATGTAAACTTTGGTGGAATTGGTATGGTAATTGGACACGAACTCACGGTCAGTAAAATATTATACAGTATATATCTTTGATGCTTATAAGGGTTGCTTTCGTGGTTCTTTGTTATAACTGTTTATTTATTGTAGCATGCATTCGATAACAACGGGCGACAGTATGATGCCAGCGGACGTTTAACACAAGTATGCACCGTAAACCTAGGCGTTCTCATGCTCTCTCGTTCGTTGCTTTCCTTTTCCACTTATCCATTGCCTCCTAAATTTGTTAGTGGTGGTCCAACGAAACGATCGAAGCATTCAACAATAAGTCGAAATGTTTTATTCATCAATACTCGAATTACACTGTCAATGATCCAAAAGGTGTTCCCGTGAATTTAAACGGTCGCTTGACTTTGGGTGAAAATCTTGCAGATAATGGAGGGTAAGGACGGCGCCATGTTCTATGCATCTTCTCACATACTCTTTTTTTTTTTTTTTTTATCACTAATGCTTATTACCCAATTTTACCTAGTCTCGATGAAGCATATAGTGCATGGCATACCAGGTTTGAAAGTGACCCAGATGGTAAACTATACAACAACCTGCTATTACCTGGATTGAATGCAACACGAGAACAATTGTTCTACATTTCATTTGGACGTTCTTGGTGTTCAAGGATTAGACCCGAAACTGCCGTGGAAAGGGTAATTGAAGGATATCCGTGTTCATGCCATCATCTTTATTATTACTGACAACATTCGCTTCTAATTTCAGGTTCGTACTGACCCTCATTCGCCGGCAAACTGGCGGGTAAATGGTGTGTTGCGTAACTCGAAGCATTTCGCGAAAACCTTTAATTGCAAAAGTGGATCAAAAATGAATCCTGTAGATAAATGTACTCTATGGTAAAAACATCATCATTGCATATTATATAGCACGAAAAAAAAAAATATTTGTATTAATTAGAAAAAAAATTGCATATATGTATGGGTCATGGGTTTTGTGATGGGCTTTTGGCTTAAATCATTTCGGATTAATTATTTATTCATTCATTTCGTCAAAAATTGGATCGACATATCTGAGATCGAGCCAATTCGGTTCTAGTTATACAATTTTTTTTAAACTTTTGGGGGGGGTAATTTCGGTGCGGTGTAAAATCCAATTTATTTCAAATTTGAATTCTGTACTATTACAAGAAAGGTAAATATAATGTAAAGTTAGATTCTCTTTTTCATTATTGTTTATGAACAATCTGTTTCCGTTTTAACTATCGGAAATATTATTATTATAATTTTGATTTTGTTGATTCTATTTTAAATAAAGCGTTAATTTATAAATCGATTCTCACGCTTAACACTGCGCAACGATGAATTTTCTCGAAATAAACATCTTAAATATAGCTGCGTCCAAACGCCCAAACTACTGTGTCAATTCTCAAAATATTGATTTTAATTTTAAATATACTGTATATATTCAAAATCTCAGGACGATTTTTTTAAAAAGCCCGATTTGTTTTGTCGACCTCATAAGTATTTAGCCTATCGTATCCAATTTTTATAATAATATAATTTATATTATTTGTAACAGATTTTTCCATTTAAAATATTCAAATTGAAATATTCGAAATCTCTTTTTTTTTTATAATCAAGTAAAAACATTCACAAATCTTCTTTCTGTAATCGATTTTTTTCTTACCTAAATTTTATGATAATATTATTTCAGGTGTCTTCTTTTTTGTCATGTTAAAAAAATTTTAAAATTCACAATACTTGAAGATTTTAGAGTAATTATAACTTCAATGCTACTTTTAATTTTATCAATGGTTTAACTTTTTAAAATAGTAAAAAATATATACAGTATATACATAAATCTGATAAAATTAAATATAAAATAATAAATTTTTAAAAAATTAGATACAGTATATTGTATATTAAAAAATTTGATTCACAATGAACTTTTGATTTTACAAATACTTGAAAAAAGAAAATCAAAAGTTTATTTACTAACTATTTGTCCTCTATGTAAACTATAAGAAAAAACACTAGATCATCTTTTTAAATATTCAGTCATAAAAGAAGTCAAGGAAGATATATAGAAGAAAGTATATGAAATAATTGATCTTTATATTGATAAAGAAATAAAATAAATACAAGAAAAAAGTTTCACTTGAAACTATTAACTGGATAAAGAATTGATTGAAAGAGATTTACAATTGAATAAAAGTCTTTTCAATATTATATGTAGATATTTAAAAAAGAATAGGACTATATTCATAAAGAACTATTTAAAAGAATAGCCAAAGATCTCTTCAATAGTCACTCAATCTATAATAAATAAGTTACTATATGTCAGAAGATATAGAAAAATTTCAGGAAAAAGATCTTAAACAATTATTTTATCAAAATAATAAACTAAAAAAAGAAGTTAGATATTATTAAAGAAGAGAAATAAATAAAAGAAATATAAAAATAGATTGGATATACTGACCATACAAGATTTTAAAGAGCCCATATTATCTTTAATAGAAAATATAGAACAAGAAAATGAAAGAAGGAAAAGAGAAAAGAATTATATAAAAATTATTAGAAAATAGATTTATCATGATACTAAATGATTTAGATTTTAAACTATAGACAAAACTTAGAATAATCTGTAGTAATGCCCTATAGACAATAATTTTACTAATTTAAAGTTAATCCAAATCAGCAAAGAAGTGAAATATCATTTCCTAGGTTGTATTTAAAGACTTAATTTTTTTATGATAGGTGAATTAACATAATAAATTTGTAAATATTTTGCATATATACAATAGGATATGTCATGTTGATCTGATTGCAGATTAAATATATATATATATATATACTGTATATATTTTACATTAAAAAAATCATAAAAATATCTAGTATAATATTAAATCAATTTAATAAAAAATTATAAAAAATTTTATAAAATTATATATCATTGTTTAATAACTTATTACATTAAATAAATTATTGTTCAAAAACTTTTTTTGATTTACTATAAAAATAAAAAATAAGACAATATATTATGTATACTTAAAACAATTTTATAGTTTGTAGATTTGTAGATGAAATAATTTTTTTTATAAAAATATTTGAGTACAATTTCTTCAAGTGCATATACTTACTAAAACTATTGCAATATACTGTACATTTCGAAAATTGCGTTTCAAAAATATTTAATATACTGTACAAATTTGATATATATATTTTGATTTTTTTTTTTCACGTTATATATTTTATATACCTCATATACCTCAAAAGCATTTATGCATACATGTGTTTCTAAAAAAGAGATTATTTGATGTCCATCAAAAGCTAATTGACTTTAACATTGGCATTTATGGCATTTATATCCGACCAATTGGAATACTGTGATCGACAACTGATCATATATATATACGCACGCATTCTCCCAAGGCTAAAAAGGTTTGTTCCTTTATATAAATCTACACATACGCATTATATATGGGGGACATCTCTCACCCATCTGATAACACCCAAGAATATAATGAAGATGGGTTGCCTTCGACTCTTCCCGCCAATTCAGATCCTCGATCATTCGGTGATCAGGATGCTAATCAAGTAGAGCCTTTGACTTGTTCAGAGTCTTACGATTTATCCGAACGTTCTACCTCTAATGTAAATAACTCTTCAGACACGATTCCTCTGCGATTAGGTAAACAGGTATCGGGTGATGGAGAGTACATGATAGAATGGAAATTAAACAAAGATAGTAATATGCGATACT